TACTTCTTATCTTTATATTCTTAATTATTTTATCATTATTAGTTTTCATTATATACATAATATAATGTAATATCATGAAGATAAATAGATACTTAAAATTTATGAAAAATAAATGCATAGAATTGTAATGCATGACATAATAAGTATTTGTGTGGTTATAATTTTTTTAACATTTTGGTTTTCTTCTTCTTCTTTATGTACAATACCCTTCCATCTTCCTACTCACTTATATATAAACCCTCACTTTTTTCTACACCAGTGTATTATATTCTTCGCATCATCTCTTCAATTTCATTTTATTGATATGGTGAGTTTCATTTTTTTTTTTGTTTCCTATTTCATATTGTATCTAAATATAATATTATGTTTTTATTTTATATATCTTTTTTCATCTTAATTTAAAATATGTATATTATTGTATAAACTATTTTCCTTATTAGTCTTATTATTTTTTTATGAATTTTTTTAGAAGATATGATAATTGTTTTTTTGAAATAATTTTTTAACTTTATTTATTTGTAATTTATGTATTATTTTCTTTTTAGATTATTAATGGTTCAAAAATTTTTTTTTTTGGAATGTGTGGTAAGAACAAAACTTTATTCAAGAGATTGAAGAAAAGATATAAATTTGATAAATGTCAAGTTATATGAAAATATTACATTTTTTTGTAAGATATTATGCTTTTAATTTTATTTATATTATATTATTATTAACTTTTTTATTCTTTTAAATGTGAATTCTACTTAGCATTGTTTCTAAATTGTATATATGTCCAATATTACTGTTATATATATATTTGAGAATATATATTTAATTACACTAAAATCTCATTCAAATAATTTTTTTTGTAACTTTAATTTGAGTGTTTATATTAATATATTAAAATAATTTGTAATACAAGTTAAGGGAATAAAATAAGAATGAACAAAAATGATAACAAATTGGAAATGAGAAAAGGGACAAGAAAAATAATCATAAAATAAAATTTTACAAGTTAAGTAATTATAAAAAAAAAGAGTTGGTAAAGACTAATATAAAAAAA